CTGGAAACCCTGGAATGCCGAGGTCTATCCAAACTCTCTGGAAATCCGGAATGTCAAGGTCTATCCACAACTCTCTGGAAATCCTGGAATGCCAAGGTCTCTCCATAACCCTCTGGATATCCCGGAATGCTGAGGTCTGTCCTGGACCCTCTGGAAATCCTGGAATGCTGAGGGAAATCCTCATCCCTCTGGAAATCCTGGAATGCCGAGGTCTCTCCATAACCCTCTGGATATCCCGGAATGCCGAGGTCTGTCCTGGACTCTCTGGAAATCCCGGAATGCCGGGATCGGGATCGTCTCCTGAAGTTTTTTTAATTAGTGGAGGAAACTTGAACCTGGTTTTTTTTTGGGATCTGTAATTTTAGCGGGATCCCATGGAAACACAAAGCCATGGGAACACAATGGGAGAAATGTGGGAATGTTGGAATGTGGGAATGTTGAAACGTTGGAACGTCGGAATGTCAGAAACCACCGACTGGCGGTCAGAGGACTTGGAAAATCCTTGGCTCTGCCGCGGATAAATGGGAATATTCCAGGCTGGAATTCCAGGAAAAGAAGGCGGGACACTCCCAGAGCTGGGATAACCCGCCTGTTTTTCTGGGAAAAAAGGTTGGGAATGTGGTACTTACTCCTCGGGTTTGCTCAGCGCTCCGCGGGGCTCCGGCCATGGAATCGGATCCCCCATTCCCGACGGACCGAACTGCGGATCCGGGACACCCAACTCCAGCTCCGGCATTCCTGAGGGGGGAAAAATGGGATGGAGAGAGGTGAATCCATGGAAAAGGCCGACAACATCCCAAAGCACCCCAAAGTATTCCAGTTACGCCGCTTTTCCAGGGAAAATTAAGGATGCCGGGGGTGAAATCTCAACCAGGGGGAAATCGCACATTTCCGTTAAGAATTCCAAGGAAAATTGTTCCTATCCAAGGTTTTGGAGAGGAACAAAGTGTATCCCAAATCCAGGAGAACCTCCCGCCCCTCTCCTGGCATTGGATCCAAATTAAAGCTGGAGTAGATTCCGGAAAAATGCCACCCAGGGGGAAATCCCAGTTGGAAAATCACCAGGAATCGACCTTTCCGACACGTTTCCCTTAAGAATTCCAAGGAAAATTGTTCCTCTCCAAGGTTTTGGAGAGGAACAAAGTGTATCCCAAATCCAGGAGCACTTCCCGTCCTCTCCCACCACCGGATCCAAATTAAAGATCCCGGAGAAATCCCAACCAGGGGGAAATCCCAGGGGGAAATCACACGTTTCCCTTAAGAATTCCAAGGAAAATTGAAGGAATTCCAAGGAATTCCAGCAGCGGGAGAGGATCCAAGTCTGTTAAATTAAAGCTGGAGCAGATCCCGGAGCCCAAATCCTGGGATACGGAGGCCGGAGACGTGATGGGAAACAGGGATGGGGATGGGAGATCCAACAAATCCCGGGAATCACCCAGAGGGGCAGGAGATGGAAAAGGGAAGGGTTGGGAATCTTCATCCGCCACATCCCAAAATCCCAAATTCCTGAGGGAAAGGCTGAAGGCGGAAATCCTGGGGTTTTTTTTATCCCGGTGGATCCTTTTCCCGAGAAATTTGACTTCCAGAAAAAACTCTTTCTCCAACTCCCTGGAAATCCCGGAATGCCGAGGTTTATCCATAACCGTCTGGAAATCCTGGAATGTCGAGGGAAATCCTGGAATGCCGCAGTCTATCCATAACCCTCTGGAAATCCTGGAATGCTGAGGGAAATCCAGAACCCTCTGGAAATCCTGGAATGCTGAGGTCTCTCCATAACCCTCTGGAAATCCAGGAATGCCGAAGTCTGTGCTCAATCTCTGGAAATTCTGGAATGCTGAGGGAAATCCAGAACCCTCTGGAAATCCTGGAATGCTGAGGTCTCTCCATAACCCCCTGGAAATCCTGGAATGCCGAGGTCTGTCCATAACCCTCTGGAAATCCTGGAATGCCTAGGTCTCTCCATAACCCTCTGGAAATCCTGGAATGCTGAGGTCTCTCCATAACCCCATGGAAATCCTGGAATGCAGAGGTCTATCTGGAACCTGCTGGAAATCCTGGAATGCTGAGGGAAATCCTGGAATGCTGAGATCTATCCACATCCCTCTGGAAATCCTGGAATGTCAAGGTCTATCCATACCCATCTGGAAATCCTGGAATGCCAAGGTCTATCCAAACCCTCTGGAAATCCTGGAATGCCGAAGTCTCTCCATAATCCTCTGGAAATCTTGGAATGACGAGGTCTATCCATATCAATCTGGAAATTCTGGAATGCTGAGGGAAATCCTGGAATGCCGAGGTCTATCCAAAGCCCCTGTTGATCCCGGAATTCCGAGCTCTGTGGTGTTTGTCCATCAGTGATTCCAGCCGGGAATTCGGTGGGACCGTTTCCGCTCCGACTCTTTTCCCAACCCAACATCCCATGGATAACAACCCCCGACAGTTCCTGGGAATCTGAGCCACCCCCCCCTTGGAAAAGGAGCTGGAAAATCCCTGGAGAAACCGGCACGGGCGGGAATGACCTGAGGGGAGGGAACGAGCCCATCCTGGAAGTTCAGCCCTGGAAATTTCCCAGGGAATTCCCTGGAAAGCTCCGTACCTGTGTCCGGAGGGAAGGGATTGGGAGCCGTCCCGGTGCCTCTTCCTGGCTGGGCCGGCCCGCGGCCGTGGGGGCTCCCGGTATTCCCGGGACATGGCCCCGGTCGGAGCTGGGCGGGATCCATGGGATCGCAGAACTCGAAGGGAACCCGGCCGGCCGGAACGCCCTGCCCGCCACTGAGTGCTGGAAAACAGGGAAAACAGGGAAAAGAGAGTCAATGCCAAGGGAAAACAGCCATGGGAAGGGAAGGGAAGTTTGGGAAGGAAAGGTTTGGGAAGGGAAGGTTTGGGAAGGGAAGGTTTGGGAAGGGAAGGTTTGGGAAGGTTTGGGAAGGTTTGGGAAGGGAAGGTTTGGGAAGGGAAGGGAAGGTTTGGGAAGGGAAGGGAAGGTTTGGGAAGGGAAGGTAAGATTTGGAAAGGTTTGGGAAGGGAAGGGAAGGTTTGGGAAGGGAAGGAATTCCAGAGTGCTTTGGGTTGGAAGGGACCTTAAGGATGATCCCATTCCAAACCCTGGCTGTTGGCAGCTCCTCAGGGAATGGCTCAGGGAAGCACCAACACTCCACAGGGAATAAACTCCTAATTATATCAGACCATTGGAGATCGGGAAGGAATTCCCAGCTGGGAGGGTGGGAAGGGGCTGGGTTGGAATTCCCAGAGAAGTTGTGGTTGCCCCTGGATCCCTGGGAGTGTCCAAGGCCGGGTTGGATTCCCTTGGAGCCACCTGGGATAGCGGGAGGTGCCGGGGTTGGAACGGGATGAGCTTTTCCCTCCCCCTGCTCACCCTCCTCTCCCTCCCATCCCAAATCCATCCCTTTGGGATGAGCCACCTACGGGTGAGTCCCGTGGGAGCTCTGGCCGCGGTGCTGGGCTGGAGCGGCGCCGCCAACAGCTCCGGCTTCACCGGCACTCCGGACACTCCGGACACTCCGGACACGCCGCCCTCGCTCCTCTCCGGGCCGCACATTCCTGGCAGCTGAGCCGCCTTTTCCAGCGAGGGGAGGAGCTGATCCAGCTGCTCCAGCTCTGCAGCAAACTAGGGAATGAAGGGAAAAAGGAACAGGATGAGCGACGGCAGCAGGAGGGGTTTTGGAGCCCACGGAGCTTCCCGAGGATTCCCAGAACACCGAGAGTGGAGAGGGAAGTTGTCGTCCATCCTGGAGATGGGGGAGGAATTCCTGGTTGGGAGGGTGGGGAGAGGTTGGGATGGGATTCCCAGAGAAGCTGTGGCTGCCCCTGGATCCCTGGGATCCCTGGGATCCTTTCCAAAGAAAGGTTGGAGCAGCCTGGGATAGTGGGAGTTGTCCCTGAACATGGAAAAGATGGAACCAGCACTGGAGAAGGTGGAATCAGCACTGGAGAAGGTGGAACCAACATTGGAGGAGTTGGAATCAGCACTGGAGAAGGTGGGATCAGCACCAGAAGAGCTGGAATTGGCACTGGAAGAGTTGAAATCCCTACTGGAGAAGGTGGAACCAGCACTGGAGAAGGTGGAACCAGTATTAGAGGAGTTGAAATCCTCGCTGGAGAAGGTGGAATCGGCACCGTAACAGCTGGAACCGGCACTGGAGGAGGCGACACCAGGAACCCACAGAATCCCCAGGACATCTCCCACACCCCCAGATCCCACGGAAACCCCCCCAAAACCCTCACCCCTCCATCCCTCTCACCTGCCCCTGCGTCTCCATCTTGACCTCCTCGGCCACCGCCGGAGCCTTGGGAATGGCGGCCGGCGCCGTGTGACACGGATCCATCGCCGGCTCCGCCTTCTCCACCTTCACCTTCACGTCGTCCAGGCTGAGCGCCGGCGCCGCCCCCAGCTCCTTCTCGTCCTTGTCCAGGAGGTACCTCAGTAGCTGGTGGTCCTTCACGTCCTTCTTCTTCAGCGCCTCCGCCTCCGGCGCCGCCGTCGGAGCCGCCGTCGGAGCCGCCGCCGCCGCTGGAGCGGCGCTGGGAGCGCTCTCCTTCTTCTCGTGCTCCATGGCCAGCGCGGTGAGGTCGGACGGGCTTCCCTCCTGGAGCAGCCGGTGCAGGATCTTGTGCCGCTCCGTCAGGGAGCTGTGGGAGGACGGGCAGGTGCCGGTGCTGCCGCCGCCTGTGCCGGTGCCGCTGGTGCCGGCGGCGTTCCCGGTTCCCAGTGTCACCAAGGATTCCTTGCAGCTGGTGTCGGCGTCGGCGGCGTGCCGGAGCTGCTGCTCCGCCGTGCTGGCCAGGAGCTGCACCAGCTTGTGGCTGGTGGCCTGTGAACACTTGGAGTCACCCTCAGCGTGCAACATTCCTGAATCCAGCGCTTTGCCCTCCCCGCCGGCGGCACCGCCGGTGGTGCCGCCGTCCGCCTGGATCATCTCGTTGAGGATGGAGGCGATCTCCTTGCTGTCCTTGGAGTCGGATTTGCCGGCGAGGCGGCCGGGAGAGCTTTGAGAGCTGCTCAGCTGCCTCAGCACCGGCGGCGGCGGCGGCGTGGAATATCCCACCGGCGTTCCCGGCCCTTCCGGCAGCCCCGGCACGGGAGCACCGCCGGGGAACGGGCGAGCATTACCGCCGCCGGCATTCCCGCCGCCGGCCATGCCCACGGGCGAGTGCATGGAGGGCACGGCGGGAGAGAAGGGGTTGCCGGGCCCTCGGGAGCGCGGCACCAGGCCGGGGCTGAGGCGGTGGCGCGGGGACAGGAATTGCGGCGGTGGCGGCGGTGGCGGGATGCCGGGGCTGCCCATGGGCGAGCCGGAGAGGGGTAGGGCGTGGTTGCCACCCTGGTTCTGGCTTAAGGCGGCGACGCCGGCGGCGGCGGCTCCCAGCTGGCTCCCGGGAGAACATCCGTAGCCGGAGGGTTGGCCGGAGTTACCGGTCACCATGGTGCCGTTGGAATTGGGGACGGAGGGAGGAGGAGGCAGCGCCATTCCCGGCCCCGGAGAGACGTTGGGGGTCAGGGTGGGGCCGGAGCGCGGCAGGGACATGCCGGAGCTGGGGTTGTCCGGCGGGGAGAGCATCCCGTGATCCCTGCAAAGGAAGAGGAGACGTCGCCTTTGGAAAACCTTCGGCGTCTGCTCAGAGGGCTCGGCTTTCCCTGGATCTGTTCTCCCCAAAAATGGGATTCCAGAGGTTCACCGGATCCCCCCTTCTCCGGGTATGACATTCCCAACGTTCCCTTCCGTCCCAGTACAGGGGGGAAGACCCACAGAACCCCAGATCCAGGGAACCCGCATCCATATCCTCACCCTGCCCTGTCCCGCCGCTCTCCCTCCCCAAAATATTCTCTGGGAATGGGAAGCGCATCAAGAAACCTCCCCTGGAGCTCCCTTGGCAAAACATGGATAACCAGGAGCCGGGAAGCTGCTCTGAGCCTCAATGGGATCCCCCCTCCAAACCAGCTCCAGGCACCACCAGTGGATCCTCTTCCCAACGTAGGGAATGGGAAGAGTTGGATACAACTTCCCCACAGTGGGAAGAGGAGGGACAGACACCGATCCCTGTGCGGGATCAGTGATGGGATCCAACGGAATGGTTGGAGTTGAGTCAGGGCAGGTTTAGGATGGATTTTGTGAAAAGGGGGCGGTTGGGCACCGGGATGGTCTCCCAAGGCTTCCAGAGCTCAGGGAGCATTCAGGATTTGGGGTATCCCGTGAGGGGTTGGGATTGGGATGGACGATCCTGGAAGGGTCCCTCCCGGCCGGGAAATCCCAGAATGGCACCATTCCCTTGGTAAAACATGGATAACCAGGAACCAGGAAGCTGCTCTGAGCCTCAATGGGATCCCCCCTCCAAACCAGCTCCAGGCACCACCAGCGGATCCTCTTCCCAATGTAGGGAACGGGAAGACTTGGATACAACTTCCCCACGGTGGGAAGAGGAGGGACAGACACCGATCCCTGTGTGGGATCCACGGGAATGGTTGGAACCAGGGCAGGTTTAGGATGGATTTTGGGAAAAGGGGGCGGTTGGGCACCGGGACGGTCTCCCGAGGCTTCCAGAGCTCAGGGAGCGCTCGGGCGCGGTGGGATTGGGACGGACGATCCCGGGACGGTCCCTCCCGACCAGGAAATCCCGGGATAGGGTGATCCCGGCTCCGTACCTGTCGATGACGTGGACGCCCATGATGAAGGGCTGCACCTCGGGGTTGGTGGGGTAGCAGAGCTTGCACTTGGTGTGGGCGCTCAGCACCGTCCCGTCGCTCAGCGTGAACCGGTACGAGGGGCTGAAGGCGGCGCCGCGGGTCATCACTGCGGGGACACGCCCGAAACATCCCAAAAATCAGCGGGATCCCACCCCATGGAGCCACAAACCTTCCCCAGGAGTTATTCCCACAGCCTGGCTTTTCCCAAAAATCTCTGGGAGACAGTTTTCGACCCCTACACAACATCTCCATGGATGTCCAGGGCAATCCCCAGAAAACACACCCAAAATCCCAAAATATCACCTCTGGGATAATCAGGATCGGGATCTGACCCCACAGCACCACAAACCTTCCCTAGGATTTATTCCCACAGTCTGACTTTTCCCAAGAATCTCTGGGAGCCAATTGGCTGATATTCTAAACTCCACAACATCTCCATGGATATCCTGGGCAATTCCCAGAAAATGCACCCAAAATCCCAAAATATCACCTCTGGGATAATCAGCATCAGGATCTGACCCCACAGCACCACAAACCTTCCCTGAGGATTTATTCCCACAGCCTGGCTTTTCCCAAAAAACCCCTGAGCACCCACTGGCTGATGTTCTGACCCTCCCCATCTCCGGAGCAATCCAAGGAATTTTGCCCCCCAGGAGATGAAGTTTTCCTGCTCTTCCTGCTCCATCAGAATTCCTGAGGGGTTGTGACATGAAATCATGGAATCGTTAAGGTTGGAAAAGACCTCTGAGATCCCAGGAGTCCATCGACATCCCAGGAAAGGCAAAACATCCCATCCTCAAACTAAGAAACAACAGGGAAGAGACGATTCCTGAGTCTCTCCAGGCTCAATCCCAGAGATTTCAGGGAATTCAGCCAAAGGGACAGGTGAGATTTTTGGTTTTTTAAGGAGAACACCCCGTTTTTAAGGAAAAAAACCCTGTTTGGAAGTGAAGTTGCTTGGAAAAGGCTCCACTTCCCCCCGTGGATGGATCCGAGGGATGAGGGATCAGTGATGCTCCAGCTGGGAATAAATCCCCGTGCTCCACTCCTTCCACACCTCCCAGCTTCACCTCAAATCCCTGGAAAGCTGATCCTGATCCTCCAACACCCCCAGGGTGTGTTATCCCACATGGAAAACCCGCCTGGAAAACCTCGATCCTAGAGATACCAAAAATTCCAGCTGCTCCCCCCGTTCTGTGTAACCTTGAACCCATCCCAGCTCGGAGTTGCCCATTCCCAGCTCCATCTCAAATCCCTGGAAAGCTGATCCTGATCCTCCAACTGCCCCTGGGTGTGTTATCCCACATGGAAAACCCGCCTGGACAACCTCAATCCCGGAGATACCAAAAATTCCGGCTGCTCCTCCCGTTCCGTGTAACCTTGAATCCACCCCAGCTTGGAATTGCACATTCCCAGCTCCATCTCAAATCCCTGGAAAACCCATCCCGATCCTCCAACACCCCCTGGATGCGTTATCCCAAATGGAAAACCCGCCTGGACAACCTGAATCCTGGAGATACCAAAAAATTCCGGCTGCTCCTTCCAACCCTAAACCCATCCCAGCTCGGAGCTGCACACTCCCA